GGCAAGTGCTCTACCACTGAGCCACCTTCCAAGCCCCAAATTTGTGAGATTCTTATCTCCAAATAACCACCACGAAATTGGAAATGGAACTGTGGTTCAAAGCGGTAGAGCACTAGTCTTGAGTAAAAAAGCTCAAGGACGGCTCCCAGGCCTTGAATCAAGCCCCAGGACTGGCACAAAAAATAGTATTGTTGACTAAAAATAGTATTGCTGGGAATGGTGTATGACCCCAACACTAGAGAGTCTGACAGAATGATTACAAATTAGAGACCACCTTAAGCTATATAATAAGACTTTCTCTCAAAAATCAAAAAATAGACAAAGGTCTGGGGGCATTGTTCAATTCGTAGAGTGCCAGTTGTGGGTAAAAGTAGAGTGAGTATAAGGGGCCTTGAGTTCAAGCCCAATAATGGCATTTTTGGAAAAAAAAATCAAAAACAGGGGCTGGGAAGGTGGCTCAGTGGTAGAGCGCTTGCCTTGCATGCATGAGGCCCTGGGTTCCATTCCTCAGCACCACATAACAGAAAAAACCGGAAGTAGCGTTGAGGCTCAAGTGGTAGAGCGTTAGCCTTGAGCTGAAGAGCCAAGCGACAGTGCCCAGGCCCTGAGTTCAGGCCATGACCGAACCAAAAAAAAAAAAATCAAAAACACAGCTAGGCACCGGTGGCTCACGCCTGTAATCCTAACTACCCAGGAGGCTGAGCTCTGCAAATCACAGTTCAAAGCCAGCCTGGATGGGAAAATCCCTGAGACTCTGTTTTTTTTTTCTTTTGGCCAGTCTGGGGCTTGAATTCAGGGACTGGGCACTGTCCCTGAGCTTCTTTTTGCTCAAAGCTAACAATCTATCACTGGAGCCACAGCTCCCCTTCTGGCTTTTTCTGTTTATGTGGTACTGAGGAATCGAACCCAGGGCTTCATGTATGCTAGGCAAGCACTCTACCACTAAGCCACATTCCCAAACTCCCTGAGACTATTTTTTTTGTTGGTGATTGGGCTTGAACTCTAGGCCTGGTCACTGTTCTTCAGCTCTTGGCAAGCGCTCTACCACTTGAGCCACAGCACCAATAAATTACCAAATAAATTACCAATAAATTACCAAAACACTGGAAGTGGAGCTGTGGCTCAAATGGTAGAGCACTAGCCTTGAGCAAAAGAAGCTCAGGGAAGGTACCCAGGTTCTGAGTTCAAGCCCCAGGACCAGCAAAAAAAAAAAACTAAAAAGCAACCACCAGTCAGGGGAGAAAAACACAACATTCAACATCGTATGACTTTCTAGATGCTCTAAAATTAAGAAACAGGAATTTGTGGGTTATTTCTGTAATAGTCACAAACTCTTAAGCAATTCTAATCACACCCTGACATTCAGGTCAAACAGTATACTGTACTAAATAAATTATTCTTGCCAAGAGCCTGTGGCTCACACCTGTAATCCTAGCCACTCAGGAGGCTGAGATCTGAGAATTGCAGTTCTAAGCCAGCAGCAGCTGCAGGAAAACCCATGAAATTTTTTTTTTTTTTGGTCCAGTCGTGGGGCCTGAACTCTGGGCCTGAGCGCTGTCCTTCAGCTCTTCAGCTCAAGTCTAGTGCTCTACCACTTGAGCCACAGTACCACTTCCAGCTTTTTCTGCTTATGTGGTGCTGAGGAATTGAACCCAGGGCCTCTGGCATACAAGGCAAGCACTCTACCACTGAGCCACCTTCCCAGCCCCCCCCATGAAATTTTTATCTTCAATTAACCACCAAAATGCCAGAAGTGGAGCTGTGGTTTAACTGGTAGAGCAGTAGCCTTGAGTGGAAAATATGAGGGATAGCACCCAGGTCTGAGTTCAAGGTCTCAGTTCATCATCACTACTGCAAAAACATCTGGAGGTATGACTCAACAGTGGATGCCTTAACTTACAAGCCACGAGACCCCGAGTTCAAACCCCAAGACCACAAAAAAATTACATACCTTCCTTTATTCCTACCACAACAAAGGTGATTACACTTGGAATTCTTTAATAACTAAGCTCTCTGTAAGCTTTTGTTAGCTCTCAAAGCAACTCCTTTTTTTTTCTTTTTGGAGCTAGGGATTATACTCAGGGCCTCTCACATGCTAAGCACATGTTCTACCACTATACTAAACCCAAGCCCTGGTAGGTCAACTCTTACATAATCTCATGACACTAGATGTCTGCTATATGTTTATCATAAATAGTCCTGAGAATTTAATTGTCACTGTATACTTCTATTCTTATATCTTTTTTTTTGGTCATGGGGCCTGAACTCAGACTAGGCACTGTCCCTTACCTCTTCAGCTCAAGGCTAGTGCTCTACCACTAGAGCCACAGTGCTTTTTCTGTTTATGTGGTGCTGAGGAATCGAACCTAGGGCCTCATGCATGCAAGGCAAGCACTCTACCACTGAGTCACCTTCCCAGCCCCTATTCTTATATCTTTGTTGATGTTGTCTTGGGTATTAGCAGCATCTTCTGGATGCTTTTCCTTCCTAAGAGGCAGGTAACACACTTTACATGAACCATTTTCTTCTCAATTCCAACGGGCATACAACACTCTGAAACTTTCCAGTGGAACTGAAGAAGAGAAGTAACTAAGGCATTTGTCCTTCCCTATTTGCTTTAGTTGGGGCATTAGGTGCACATCCAAGGTCAGCAGCAATCACAATGATACATTACTTTTAAAAAGACTTCTTCATATTCATACCTTTTTTTTGTCATTTGTGGAGCTTGAACTCTGGGCCTGGGTGCTGTCCCTGAGCTTTTCAGCTCAAGGCCAGCACTCTATCACTTGTGCCACAGCACCACTTCCAGCTTTTTCTGTGTATGTGGTGCTGAGAAATCAAACCCAGGGCCTCATGCATGGGAGGCAAGCACTCTACCACTGAGCCACCTTCCCAGCCTTCATATAATTCTTTTAACTTGTCCTTGGCTTGAACTCTGTGCCTGGGCACTGTCCCTGAGCTTTTGTGCTGACAGCTAGCATTCTTTCACTTGAGCCATAGCTTCAGTCCCAACTTCTTTTGGTAATTGGAGATAAGACTGTCATGGACATTCCTGCTCAAGCTATCTTCAAACCTTGGTCCTCAGATCTCAGCCTCCTAAGTAGCTAAAATTGCAGGCCTGAGCCACAAGTGCCCAGTCCCCATCATATATTTCTACAAACAAAACTAATTAATGGAAGATCTGCAGTTCAAAGCCAACCTGAGCAGGAAAGCTCCTTAAACACTTATCCCTAATAAACTAACAAAAAAAAGTCAGAAATGGGCTGTACTATGACTTAGTGGTAGAGTGCTTGACTAGCATGCATGAAGCTGTGGGTTCAATTCCTTAACACCATATAAACTGAAAAAGCCAGAAGTGGCACTATGGCTCAAGTGGTAGAGTATTAGCCTTGAGCAAAAGAAGCTCAGAAACAGTGTCCAACCCCTGAGCTCAAGCCCCAGGACTGGCAAAAAAAAAAAAAGCCAGAAGTGAAAATGTGGCTCAAGTGATAGAACACTAGCCTTGAATACAGAAGCTCAGGGACAGTGCCCAGGCTCTGAGTTCAAGCCCCAGCACTGACATACACACAAAAAAGAAGAAAAATAAATAAATAGGGACATTGACATCAATATGTTAGTAAATATCTTGCATCTTTTGATTCCCCCAGGGCTTTGCTCACAATATTTCTTCTACCTGGACTGGTCACATTTTCTTCCATTCTGCAAAGTTAAATCCTATCCAATCTCAGCTCAAATCCTTCCTTCCTGCATTTTCATGAACACTTCCTCTTTCTAGTAAGTTACGGACAGAAGACTCTCCCATGTCTTTGCTATAGACATTAGAAAGTTTCAAATGATGAACCTAAAATCACAATTTAAAATAAACTTTAAAAGTATGAGATAGGGCGGGGAAGTTGGCTCAGTGGTAGAGTGCTTGACTCGTGTGCATGAGGCCCTGGGTTCGATTCCTCAGCACCACATAAGCAGAAAAAGCCAGAAGTGGTGCTATGGCTCAAATGTAGAGGCTAGCCTTGAGCTGAAGAGCTGAGGAACAGTGCCCAGGCCCAGAGTTCAGGTCCCACAACCGACCAAAAAAAAAAGTATGAGATAAGTAACCCAGTTATTCGTTCAGAGGGGCTGATTTGGGATTCAATTGATTGGTAAATGTTTGAGGTTAGAAAGACTCAATTCTTGTGTACCCCCTCCTCCCACACTTCAGTTTCACCTAATTCAATGTTGTGTACACAGTCTTAATACAAAGCCCCATTACAGTTGATGAGGAGGGTAGGACTAAAACAAAATTCAGATTCTGGAGGGGGGGTGGTGGAAAGAGGCTTATTGTTAAATAAGACAAGTGTTGTCTATGCTTAAAATAAGTTCAGTATCTACAACAGAAAATGTCAAAAGTTAAGAGACAGCCTAGAATGCAGAAATCGCTGAGGTAGATCCAGCACCCGAGGGACAGAAAAGGACAGAGCGCTACAGACTGGGCTTCAGAGATACATGCCCTGGGATGGGCCAAAGGGTGCACTCTGTGACTTACTGGAAAGGGGCATCGCAAAGAAACTGAAAACAAGTGTCACCTTTTTAGATTTAGCTTATGCTCTTAGAGCAAACCAAGAAGCCACATAACAATTTTGAAAAATTATTTTATCCACCACGGTGATCTTAGTACTCAGTTTCCAAAGTAGAAAGACATGTCAGGAAGCAAAGATTTCCCCAGGCTCAGATGACTTCCAACACAGGGCACAGACCTTCCGGTGCCCCCCAATTCATGAACCTAGGCCATGGATTGTAGGCTACACTCCCCAGACTGGTACAAGAAAGTAACATGGGTCAGGACCCAAATCATCTCTTCTGTTATTACGTTCGGGGAGGTGGACCTGAAGTGTGTGGGTCGTGAAGTAGTGTGGGGTGTGCCCCACACAAAACGACCTTCTCACCACACTTAGTAGTAGATTGACAAACACCAAATACTCCTTTGGTAATCAGGGGACGATGGGAACCAATGTAGGACTTACCTGGCTGTTCCGTGCGGTGGTTAAACCTCCGGAGCTCCGGAGACTGTGGCAGCGAGAAGTCTACACTCGCAGCCTCCAAGCTCTCACACTCTGGGAAGTCACAATAGCCGCGGCAGTGACGACGGCTAGGCGGTGGCGACGTCGACAGCTCCTCCCTCCCGGCGCTCCTTTATCCGCCCCCAGCCACCGCGGCCGCCAGCCCTGGCCCCACCCACTTCTGCTCCCCATTTCCGGGGGAGGTGCCCTGGCCGGAAGCTGGGCCTGCAAGGGAGCACGTTCCACGTCACGTGGACTCCGGAACAAAGCCTAAATCTAGCTCTCTCTCGCCCTCTGCTGCTCCCCGCCTCTGCAGTTTCCCAGCCTCAGCCCTGGGAGGGGCTGGAGTTCGGCGCTCCTGCCTCCTTCCTAGCTGCAAGCACCAAACCAAGTTAAACAAGAAAAAACAATCTCTACCAAAACAGTGCCTCTTTTTAATGTACCAGGAGAATTCCGTGGGAATCATCTTCTACTATGTTCTTCCTGGCTCAGCATGAAATTAGCGCGGATCAGTCAGAGTGGGCTAAGTTACTCCAAATACTGGGAAGCCTAACGACCAATATAAATGCCAGAACCTTGGAAGATTGAATCGCTCTGGGGACGCAGATCAATGGTACTGCACTTGTCTAGCACTTACCAGACCCGATTCGATTCTCAGAAGTCTCTGCCCCCAAAATAGAATGCATATAAATTCATGATCTTTACGTGGACGGGGATGTCCCCTTTCCACTTATTTTATTGCTCCATCATTTATAATACTTAAGGAGTCAGGCGGTACTGGCTCATGCCTGTGGTCAAGGTTCAAAGCCAGCCCAGGCAGAAAAGTATATGAGACTTTTTATCTCTAATTAACAAAGAAAACCGAAGTAGCTCTGTGGCTCAAAGTAGTACAGTACTACAATAGCCTTGAGCACTGAGTTCAAGATCCACAACCAACAAAACATAGAAACAGGGGCTGGGAAGGTGGCTCAATGATAGAGTGCTTGCCTTGCATGCATGAGGCCCTGGGTTCAATTCCTCAGCACCACATACACAGAAAAAGCTGGAAGTGGCACTGTGGCTCAAGTGGTAGAGCAGTAGCCTTGAGCTGAAGAGCTGAGGAACAGCGCCCAGACCCAGAGTTCAGGCCCCATGACTTGCAAAAAAAAAAAAAAATCCTCCAGAAAAAAATTCCCATTATGTTGGAAAACAAAGTATGGTGTCCTTTTCTCAGATGTTTTGGGAACCACTTACTGTATTGCTAGCCTTTGCACCTCACTTCCTTATGAACTCACAATGATACTCTATGTTTTGCTACCCTGTAATCCCCTTAAGCATTTTATTTTTATATTTTGTGTCGTGGGGTTTGAACTTGGGGCCTGCACACTCTTCCTGAGCTCTTTTGTTCAAGGCTAGCATTCTAGCATATGAGCCACAGTTCCACTCTGATTTTTTGGTATTTTAGTGGAGATAGGAATCACAGATTTCCATGTCTGAGCTGGCTTCCAACTAAGTAGCTATGTTTAGAGGTGTGAGCCACCAGAACTCAGCCCAAATTGATGGTTTTGTTTTGTTTTAATCTAAGAAAACAACATTAAGCTTTTGTTTTCCAACTTGTTTGGATTTTTTTTAATTATACTGTACTGTATGCATGTACACACAAAGAATACACTTAGGGGAGGAACCCAAAGATGTAACTCCCTTCAACATCTAAAATACTACTTATGAAAACAAATTCTAGTAGGGAGGGGTAAACGGGAGAAAATGAGGTAGGGGGTAACAGTGTTTAAAAAGAAATGTACTCAGCTAGGCGCCAGTGGCTCACGCCTATAATCCTAGTTACTCAGGAGGCTGAGATCTGAGGATTGCCATTCAAAGCCAGCCCTGGCAGGAAAGTCTGTGAGACTCTTCCCAGTTAACCACCAGAAAACTGGAAGTGCTGTGGCTCAAGTAGTAGAGCACTAGCCCTGAGCAGCTCAGGGACAGTGCCCAGGCCCAGAGTTCAAACTCCACAATGGACCAAAAACAAGAAAAAAAGAAATGTACTCATTACCTTACTTATGTAACTGTAACCTGCCTGTTCATCACCTTTACAATAAAGATTTTTTCAAAAAATGAATTCCAGGAAATGGGAACATAATTTTTATTGCTGCTGGTGGTTTTATTGTTAGTGGTATTGTCTGTCGTTTTTGTTCTCTTTTTAGGGGTACAAAGGGGGAGTACAAGAATGGAGGGAAGATGAACAAATGCAGTCATGGTTTTCTTTTGTCATTCATGGGGCTCAAATGCTGGACCACTAGCCTTGAGCAGAAAAGTTCAGAAACAGTGCTCAAAGTCCTGAGTTCAAGCCCCAGGATTGGCAACACATGCATACACACACACACACACACACACAAAAAATTAAAAATTCTAAAATTATTACACTTATGAACATTAAAAATCTTCCTTTTGTAGCAAGAGGTAGTCTTTTCCCATTTCTTTTTTTTTTTTGTCGGTCATGGGGCTTGAACTCTGGGCCTGGGCGCTGTCCCTCAGCTCTTCAGCTCAAGGCGAGCGCTCTACCACTTGAGCTAC